TCCCTCGCTGGCTGGTATTCGATGCGTAGAAAGGGTGAGAGTTTGTACCAATATCTTGCCTATTGCGTTCTGGGTTTGCTGAATCCGGTCCTCTCTGCCTTTTAGGCAACCCTGATTAGTCTATCTGCCATACATACGTCGGGCATCATCTGTTGGGAAGTGGGATGCTGACCACTTAAGTCTTCCCCCGTAGTCGCAGAGAATCACGTAGCAGTTTTCTTCAGCGATATCCTTCCAATTGAACACATTAAAGGTTGCGGGGATGGGATTGTTTATATCGCCCCTGGCGCGCTCAATGAGAGCGGAGTCCTCGGAGTCCTGTACACCCCTCAGGGGTATTAAAGATTAGCGTGACGAGTATAGAGAATATGGGATAGCAAGCGAGAGAGGGATGATCGGAGAAGAATTATTCTGTAAATTATTCCACAGAAAACACTTGCTTATTCGAGTCCCAACATTGAATGAGTATAGTAGGATTTAGTGTAGTGCTAACCTTCGATATCCCTGAGGTGTGTAGATCTGAGCTTGAGCGTAGCGTAACTTCATCACTCTCGGCTTCACGCCGCTCGTGGAAGTGAGCTTCGGCTCCTTTTCCAATATCTGCCATGTTTGGGCTGTTGACTATGCCTCTTATAGACTCAACGGGAGCTGCGTTGGTAGAAGCCCAGAGCGAGATGAGAGCAAGTGCCCAGGCTGAAGCTTTAAGTTCAACGAGCATATTTATAGCAACGGTGGTGATATCTAAGTTAGGATATGAGATATGATGTTATAGCTTGGTGAGTTATCGACAATACGAAAGGTTTGAAGCAAGAACGTGAAGATGACGATTTGGTAGTGTGTTAAGGACGAGAAGATATCACGACAGCAACCCCTATTTGTATTCTTGTGTCCTGATAGCAACTGTGTTCCTGGTCTCATTTTCAGCCAGCCTGATCTACTTTGTCGTTGACACCGATGTCAACCAAGCTGAAAGTGATCTTCGTCCATCATTCCTCATGGCTGATGGCCATTTCATATCCTATTTTTGACAACAGTCGAATAATCTTACGTATGTAAAGTAGTCGAACCAGTCGTGTGCCTATTTTTAAGTCGCTGATCAGATCCTACCTATAGAGGATATGTTGTGTCATGATACCCTGCGTTGCCTGTGTAGATTTCTCCTGGCTGTTGCTGGCTGACATTCCTTGCTAGAGGGAGCTGGATCATTGGCAACGCAATTATGTCATCGGGTTATCGCCGATGAGGTGAGAGAGCTATTTGCGGTACCTGAGTGAGACTCCAAGCTGGACGAGATCGACATCGTAAAACGAGCAGCTGTGTGGCGTGGTACAGAATCCTAAAGATTCATCAGACGTACAGTGACTGCTAACCTACTAGGAAAGGGGGCGGTGGCACAAGTCCTTTCATGCATGTCCTGCGGCGCGAACGGCGCAAGGGGTGGCGCATAATAAATACACCAAATCGGAGCTGCACGTGGTTTCTTCAGCTTGCTTACGTATATCCTAGGAATTAATGCACTTTTCCACTACATATTTCTCCGCGAGACGTCATCGCCCTCACAACTTATTATTCCCGAGGCCCCCAAGCAAACGTTGGGCACGTCATCATCTACCCTACTTCTGTTGTTGTTCATCAAAGCATATGTAGAAACTTTACGTCTCCCACTACCATCGACACAATTTCATTATTGGGAAAATCAAAAGGAGTCAATATGTGCAGCATACTACTCTTCTGCATAGCCGATGAGGCCAAATCCGTAAGTTCATAAACTGTGAAAGCATGCGACAAAGCACGACTGATCATGAGGGAACAGTTCTTGCCGACCGTCATGGCGACCGAATCTATGAATTATAGCCTGGTAGAATCTCGCCGAAGCCCTTCTCCCCGGCATGAATATAGAGATAAACTCGCAGAAGGGGACGCTTTCGGCGACGAATTCATCGGGGCCTCCATGGACGAGTGCGCCGCCTTCACTCTTGAGCACCAAGGAAAGTCCAACAAACTACACCGCAACTTGATGGTTATCGTCGACGCACGTAGCGCTAAAGATGGAACCATCATCATATCCTACCATCCGTTTCCCGAAAACGCCCCTTTCCTAGGCCAGAATCAGAAAGTCGATGCTTGGTATTCCTTCAGAATCCATTATACTACGGCCTTGGATCTCTCTGCGGAGCTGTCAGACACGGGCAGACCGAGTGAGACATATGGTGTCTTGTTCAGGCGCAAAGACGAACTTACCAATGAGAAGGGAATCTTCGACTACGATAAGGCCGGCGAGCTTCTTAATCGAGGAGAGGGCGTTATTCTGGAGGAGTCCCAGAGCACTAGTTAGACCTAGGTGCTCATAGACATGTAGCACATGAAAAGACTCATTTCTGTTTTCTCTATACCAGTTTGCTTGAACAGAGTCGATCATGCTGTAGAGTAGTTTCCGAATATAGTACATATGCAGCTTTCAGTTGCCACCTTTGGCTTTGAGGCCGCTGAGCAGCACATCAAATCCGGTCACGACGCAGCTGCTATCTTGAAACTGCTCCGAACCATGTATCTATACCTCGGGAATAGTTCGGGCATAGGGAGGAGTGGCGTATGCAGTTGGAATAAACTTGATGGTCCGGTTGGTGTAATTTGCTGTAGAGGCTTGTTACCTAACTCCGTAGGAATAAACGTTTCTACATTTCTAATACTCCGAACGCCTCGGAAATATAAAAAATAAGCTCATGGTATCAAGTCAGCTTATGGTTGTAGGGGGACCCATGCAGCCGGTTCTACAGCCTTTCTGCATTGCCGCAGTGATGCAGGGCTGAACTACGCCCGGTTACCACCCGGAACAGAAACATGTTGTCTCGTGGCACAGCTACCTTTTTCGTCCTTGGTGGCGCTTGGGACTTAGTGCTTCATTTCTGTGAAATACAAGTGCTAAATATTGCGATATAAATAGATCATGGTGTGTGCTAACTAAGTTGCAGTCCTTCAGATCGACTTCGGGATGATGCCCCTATTGGTGACTAAGAATATCTGTGAAATCCTTCAGTAGACGTCGCCGCTGTCGTCCCTCTCGTCGTTGCCGACGTCGCTGTCGCCGTCGATCACTAGATATTCAACTGTCATGACGTCTTTGAAGGAATAAGCATGTGCCGGTGAACTATTCGTAATGATTCCAGGCAATTAACATACTAGTATCTTTCTAGCAGATGTCGGGTAGAACGGGGGAGAGGCAGAGTATAAAGGAGCTGTAGAATCGTCTTCCCAAGCATGTGAGATAACAACAGTCCAGCACCAACAGCATTTCAGCATCTCCCTATCTCATCATCTATAACTATCTACAACTTTTCAGCATCCAAACGACTTGCACGCTTCACTTCTGTGCTTTTAGAAAACTAGTCATCTTTGCTTTGAAAAGAACATTCAACCATAACCCCTCAACATGCACTTCAGCACAGTATTCCTCCTCTCCACTGCCGCCATGAGCGTTATGTCATCCCCGTTGAACGACGTCTCCAGGAGTCTTTCAGAAGGCAGTCTCTTCGCTCGCGATGGCCTGACCCTACTTGACTCAGCCGACCGGGGCAACGGGAGCAAAATGGAGTATTACGGCGTCAGCGGTGGCGCCCAGAAACGTGAAGACGAACCCGGGGAGCCTGCTGACCTGCAGGACCGCTCCGACGAAGACGGCGAAGGCGATGGCGACGTCCAGCCTACCCCGACAATAGCTGAGCGGGGCACCAAGTGTAGCGCCTCGCCGACTGCGTCCTGCGACACGAAAAACAACCAGGCCCAGAACTCCTTGTGCGCCAACCTGCTCGACGATCTCAACGCCCAGTACGACACTTCGGTGCCGAGCAGCTGGCGCCAGATTTGCTACAGGGGCACCGACGGCTCCTGTTGCACGGGTTGGAACACCCAGGTGAACTACCTCAAGCAAGGCACCTTGGCCGCGAACGTCCAGACCCTCAACGAGCAGTGCTCGGCGAATGGAATCTCGGGAAAGATTTACGGCACCAAGCTCAGTTACACTTGCGTGAACCAGTGCGTCAACAGCGGTCATACGTGTTCCTAAGTTGCTCGGTTTTTTTTTCTTCCTCTGGTATTTCGTGTAATTCAACGGGTATGCAAGGGCGGTGGTTTATAAGTGGCATAAGGGACTGGAAGCGCAGCAGTTATGGGGGGAAGACGGCTACTTTCGTTTCTATGTTTCCTTCTATTTGTCATTGATTCTATCTTGTCAGACCAGCCAATTGTCAGTCACGTATCTTATTAAACGTCATTTTCCGCGGGGAGTTCATACTTATATATATGTAAAAGCGACATATATGCTGGATAAGTTCTTTTTGAACGCGCACCACAATCTGCACCACAACCATCCACCCCCCTTTTTTTCCTATTCTCTTCCCCGACATCTGAAGCCCATCATCCCCTCCGCCTACCTCCCACCTAACCCCATGCCAACCCCCAGCCACCGGTCATACTACACCATGCCTCGTCGAATTCACGATACACGTGCTCCTCGGCCCGACCCAGCAGCTGCTCAAGCACGTCCGAAACGCATCTCCTGCTTCTCCCGGATGAGGAAACCCGTTTATCATGGGACCGCAGTAGTTCGACTCCATGTACACGATCAGCACCTCGTCGAAGCAGAAGGTCGCATTTACGACCGGGCTGTTGCGGCAGCCCGTCACGCACTTCTCGTAGTTGCAGCCCGTCGTGCAGCTATCGTCGCACGGGGGCCCGATGATGGGGACGGGGACCTGGGCTGTGGTCGGGGCGGCGATGGTTAAGAATAGGAGCAGTATATGTGTGGAATGAGGGGGGGTGAGGTGGTGGTGGAGGCGATGGAAGAGGGCGAGCATTGTTTTTGTTTTCAATTTTGTTTTTGATTTTGATTTTCATTTTGATTTCGTAATCTTTTGAGATATATAGGGAGAATTTGGTGGTGAAGTGAAACAACCCGCAATGACCGTACTGCTAGCGCCATTTATTGGTGCAGCGGGTAAGCCGGGCTTGTATTTCAGTGGTAGAATTTTCGATTCCAGCCTCTGGAACCTCCGAAAGGTCGTCCGTTCAAATCGGGCCAAGCTCAACTTTTTTATTTTCTTAATCGCGCTAAATAATTAAATATAACTTATTGATTTTATTAGGTGCTTTTTTTAAACTTTTTTTATTTTATCTTTTAATTTTTAAAGTATTTTATATATATTATTTAATTTTTTTATTATATAATTAATTTTATATTTTATATAATATTTTAAATTTTTATAATCAAAATTTTAATTAATTTATAATTATTTTTAATATAATTATATTAAAATAATTATAAAAATAATAATTAAAGCTTTTTTTATTAATTTTTAAAAACATTAATATTTAAACTTTAAATTAATTTATATAAATATAATATAAACCTTTTTTAATAAATCGTAATTTTATATTTATAAAAAGCTTTATAATTTAAAATAACTTTTAAATATATATATATTAATATTATATTTTATTTTTTATATTAATTTTATTTATTTTATATTAATTTTATTTTTATATAATATAAATTATAAAAGGCATTTATAAATTTAATAGTGAAACTTATTAGATTATTAAAATAAGACTTTTTATAAAAATGTTGGCCGAGGTATATATATACTCGTGTATATAACCCAGGTAAATAAGTATTTAGATCCTAATCGAGCGCAAGCCGACCAAGATGATTATTTCATATCAACTCCCACAGTTCCTCATAAACATACGCATCTTACATATTCCGCCCCTCGCGCACGGACTCAACACTTCCGTGGTAATTTATCAGACACTTTAGGCAAAAAGAGACGACACAGACTTGGGTGACAAACCCACCGAACCCAACAGGAGAGAGCATTCCCTACTACTGCCACAGCCTCTCCGCCTCCTCCCGTGTCCGATGGCAGGTCCTCAGGAACTCCTCCGTCGACTCGCCCCCGCGCGTTGTATACTTCTCTCTCAGGACCTGTTCGAGGAGTAGTCGGAGCCCCTCGACGCCGTTCCGGGCCCGGATCTCCCACCTCTGCCCGTCTCGGATGTTGAACAACACGATGCGCGGCGGTAGTGCTGATGTGGACCCCTTCCTTGTGCTTGACATCGACGACTTCTTGTTGGCTTTCTTGCTGGTCTTCTTGCCGGTCGTCTTGCTACTAGACCTCTCCTCATGGCCCGTCAAGAACAGGTACGCGTACGCGGCGGCCTGAACGACGTGCTGTAGCGAAAGTTCCGCTACAAATTTGATCTCCCAGATGGTAGCCGTAGTGACACCCTGCTCTTGTTCCTGGTTCTGGTCTGGACTCTGGAAGGGATGACGACTCGGATCGTAGTCTTTCCAGTCCACGATGTCTGCGCGGCCCGAGAGCCGCGTCTTCTGCACCTGAGCTTCCTTCGCTAAGCCCGAAGGGTGCCCTGCCACCTCGAACTCGTCGTCTGCAAACGATACCTCGAAATCCAGCCGGTGGTACTTACCGGCGGCGCTGAGCTCGGCCTTTAGGCGTTGCGTTGCGGCAGCAAGGGACGGGCCCAGCCAGTCAAACGCGTGACCTCTCATTTGTAGGTACCGCGAGCGGTAGCCAGATCGGGAGGCCTCGTACGCACATGCCTGCTGGCATAACCAAGCGGCCATATCTTCCACGCTGACATCCTTCGGCACAGGTTTCCGCGGGTAGCCTAGGCTGGCCAGCATACCGCGCAGGGCGAGCTCGTAGGCTGCCACGATGGCTATTCCGTTCAGGTCACTAACGGCCTCGTAGTGGTTGTGGAGTGAATTCGTCAGGGTCTTCTCGGGGGCCTCTATATGCTCTCTATGCGGCAGCGGAGGGACCACCTTGTCGATGATCAAGTGCGTCCTGACAATGCCCTCGAGGATCTCCTCGGGCACGTGGCGGGCCATATCGGAAACGAAAACGCGAGCCGGAAGCATGAGATTATGCAGAAGGGGACGACCGGTGGGGAGAGGCTTCTGCATGGCGGTCCGAGCGAGATTCACGTATCGCGCCGTCTCCATGAGCTGCGGAACCCGCATGAAGGACATGGGCCTCTGCTTGGCGTCCTGCAGTACGACGAGCTGCTTCTTAGCACGGGTCAGCGCTACGAAGGTGGCGTTGGGCAATTGGTCTTCGGGCAGGTCTCGCCCTAGGAATTGGAAATATGCCGCGTCCACGCCGTACACGATGACAAGGTCGCGCTCGCTGCCTTTGAACTGGTGATAGGTGGTCACGCAGATCTTGCCGCCAATGACGAGGTCGTCAAGCGGCGCCTCGTCCGAGATGGATACGGCGATGCCGAAGCCATACTTCTCGGACAAGAGGTTCGTGAGCCGCGCGAGTGTCTCGTTGGCGCGGACGAACGGTGCCAGGATCGCCGTGCGGTTCGCCCCGTGGCGCCGGATGAGAGGAGCGAGGTGACAGGCGAGAATTTGCGCCTGGTCCAGGGCGGCGTTGACGTAGATGGGCCGAGGTCCCGTGTGCGAGCCCGTCGCGTACTCTTCTCCACCGAGAAACACTTGATTCAGGAAGCGGGAGGTCTCGTGAGAAAGACGGAAGCTCCTGCTCAGGGGCATGTGGGACCACGCGTAAGGGGAGATGGGACCGAGGGTGTCGGGACACAGTCCGAGATATCTAGCATCAGCGCCACGGAAGCCGTATATAGCCTGTCGCTCGTCGCCGAGGGACACAACTCGCGGTGGCTTTCCGCCGGCAGTGGCATGCGTCAGAGACAAGATGAATACGCTAGTTAGCCAGAAGAGCTCCTTCGTACAGTCCTGTAACTCGTCGAGGATAACCAGATCGTAGGGCTCGTCTCGCCACACAGGCACGATGCCGTCGTGCCTCAAGGACCGGAGAACGGTGTCGTTCTGTACGACGGTACCAAAAAGCTTCCCAGCCATGCCGTGAAAGGTGTAGACATGGCATCCGGGGCAGCCGTCCAGGCGACGCGCCGTCTCTAACTGTAAACGTTTGGAGTAGGTAATAACAACGACGCGCTTTCCGGGATTGGCGTCGACAATGGCCTTCGCTGTGGCCGTCTTACCGGAGCCGGGCCGGGCAGATACGACGACATTTCGTGTGCGCGACAGCTCAACGACGGCCTTCTGCTCCTCCGACGCGATGAAGGACGGCTGGGGAGCGACTTCTTGCGACCGCGAAGGGCATGTTGTGAACGTCCGGCACAAGGTCCGCCATATAGAAGCGTGCCGGTTTCTGATTACACTTTGAGCAGTGATGACCACGCATGATAAACGACCATTCATCAGGCCGGGATTGTTTGATTTGTTACACTCGCCCCCTGTTATGCTACCGGCCGAAGTTACCAAGTGAGTCGAAGATGCAGCCGATTCCTTACTAGGTAGCAAGTAACTTAAAGCTCAATCGACACCCCGGCGCTGCGAGCCCACGGCTTGGATATGTCGGAAAAGATGAAATAGGGAAGGGACACTATCTGGCTCGAGTCATCACGCGAACATGACAACACACCGAAGTCGCTTTTTCAGGGTCCAACAATCAACAATCGCGACGGCGAATGTCAGCTACTTAGCGTCAGTGATTACCTAATAGATAACATTGCGTATTCGATATATATATTTTTTTTCTTTTTTGGTATTCGCTTTTCTTTTTCCCGATTCCATTGGCAAGATACCTAGGTTCAAGATTATTAGTCAATCATGTCATGATGGTAATGTCACTCATAAATCATGAAATGCCTCGCCGGCCAAAGTCATCCCAATACTGCAGCGCATTCTTCGCTCGAAACCTCAGATGCGTTGCAAGCCAGCAATGACTCCAACGGAAAAGATATTGTCGTTACTCCCACCATTACTGTCTTAGTAGAGGTGCCAGACTAGGGTTGACGCCCAGGTAGCTGGTTCTTCATACTCTGCGCTGTTGAAGGCACCCTGGCTAGGTAGAAACCGATCGTGCCTCTTGTCTGCTAGGCGCGGGTATGCCCTTTCATGAATCATCTGTACGAAAAGAATACCACTAGCCATGACCACAGCGATGATAGTTGTGGGAGCTGATGGGTTGATCTTCATACACGATACGCGACATGTGCTGAATATCGCGTCACGAATGAAGCCGTCGGTGGGACGACGGGAGACGTCAGCGGAGAACTGTCCTATCCGGCTTCCATGTCCGTCAAAGTCTCACGATGTAGCATTTACCCCAACTCTTTCTGACCCCCCGGCTCTGCCCATCCCCTTTTCAAGCAAGCTTGCTACAGCTGCGGGGATGCGCATCTCGGCAGTAGTAGTCGCGAGAGAACTGACGGCATATTAGCCTTAAAAGCATTCCGCTCGGCTCACGTCCTTGACCATGTGACTTTGGCACAAGTTCCACCTCCCAGTGATCTATTCCTCAAAGCCCAAATCCTTTCCCCTTGCTTTCTCCACCTATACTTCAGACTTTACTACAAGAATGGCCGACCAACAGAAGCCGCGCGTTATTCTCGGACTCATGGGGATGGGCCCCGAGGGCGCTCCGGGCGCCCGACTCACGGGGCTGGATAAGTTTAGGGAGGCCATGGACATCTTTCAGCAGCGGGGGTACAACGAGCTGGATACGGCGCGACTGTACATCGCCGGCCAGCAAGAGGATTGGACTCGACAAGCTGGTTGGAAAGAGAGGGGCTTTTCTATAGCCACCAAGATCTATCCGATACCAGCAGGTACCCACGAGCCCGAGACACTTAAGAAGTTGTTTGAGACGTGTCTTAAGGAGCTCGGTACAGACTGTGTTGACGTAAGGCGCCTAAGTCATTGAACAGGACAGTGGCGAAAGGCTAACAATTTGCAGCTTTTCTATCTCCATGCTCCAGTAGGTTCGCCCGAATGACTTCACGTTGAAGCTTACCGTGGATGGAACAGCTCACACAGGGTGACTCAGGATCGTTCGGTGCCATTCGCATCCACCCTCGAGGCCGTAGACGCTCTTTACCGGGCAGGTAAATTCAAGCGTCTAGGCCTAAGCAACTACACCTCTTTCGAGGTAGCCGAGATCGTCATGACGTGCAAGTACAACAACTGGGTGCGGCCAACGGTGTACCAGGCGATTTACAACTGCCTGGTTCGCG